TTTTTTTTTTTTTTTTTTTTTTGTATTTTGAAGTACTTTTTATATCTTAATTAAATTTCAAGAAAATAGTTAATTTATTTTCTTAGATTACATTAATTTAAAAATAATTTATAAAGCATGCGTATATATTTATATATAAAAGATTAAAGTAAATAAAAGATAATTTAAATAAATTAATTAAAAATAAATAAAAATAAAAATAAAAAGAGTGGGGTGGGTATGAGTTTATATTTGACTTACAAAATAAATATATATTTATTGACTTTGATTATAAAAAAAACTTAATAAAAGGGTTTTAGTAAATAATAAATATAATTGAAAAAAAAAAGTCAAAAGTAAATAAACAACACATAAATCTAAAGTGCTTAGTTGGGGACACATCTTTTATAATTTAAAATATTTATTATTATTATTATTTCGGGAAATGAATAGGGAAAATGTTGATGAGGCAATAATATATATATTTTTTGAGATAATATAGTATGGAGAGCTTAAGTTCCACTTGATATATATATATATATATGTAGCATTTGTAAATTTATTTTTAAAAAATAAAATAATTAATCCTTTTGAAATATAAACTAATAATTGTTTCTTAAACCCTAAATATTTGCAGAAAAGAGTGAGCTTTGTGAAACAATGAAGAGGATGGTTCTGCACAATGGCAATGCATTGACCTTTCATTTTGGCTCTCTCTCTCTCTCTAATGTATAGAATGAGTTCGTGTATCCTCGTTCTAGGAATTGATCGATAAGAATAGAATACGATTGATTTGGTCTCAGTTCACGGCTGATAATTATTTGAGAAGCTTGTAATTATTAATTTGGACGGGCTATAGTTCATTAGTATAGTGTGTCTCTAATAACTGAGTCGTGTTCGAGTGTGAGGACCTTTTGTCCCATGAATAGTTCAATGTACTCATTAACGCTTGATCCTGAGATGTTGAGCAGACGTACTTCTCTCGAAATTTGAAACCGAACTTCTCTTGAAAAAAATAGAAATGATTCATATGAGGTCCGATGTAAATTCAATCAATCAAATTTAAATATTATAATTAAATAATTAGGAGTTTCAAAATTTAATTATTTTAACCCATAATTTTTCCAACTTCTTACCTGCACTCATTTATACCCATGTTAATCAAATGTCCACATTATCCCTCTTACTCCATTTATTTCATGCCTTATTAATTTCTTTACATTATTTTTTAAAAGGGTATTGTAGACAATTTTTTCTGTAAAAAGGAGTACCATTGAAAAGTATAAAAACAACCGAATAATGGCTGAAGGGAAAAAATATTTGAACATTTTTTTTCACTAAATAAATGTGTCAAATTCAAACCGTATATCTAAATTCAAAGGATTTTTTTGACGTTATAAGTAGAAATTATTTGATAAAACTAAAATAATACGACCAATCTTATATAATAAATGCATGATATTAAAAAAAATTAATCATTTTAACGACATAAATTTAATATTTATAATTTAATTTCTAAACTCAATTTAAATTTATTTGGTTAAAAATTTCCTTCAAATTTGCTAATGGTTCTCCAAACTTATTTTTATAATCACTTTATTATAATTTTTTTAAATAAATTTATAAACCTAATTTTATTTTATATGGAATGGATTTTTTTTCTAATATATATTTAAAAAAAAATCAAAGACCGATCAAAAGTTTAGAAACCATGTAATTTTCCAAGACTAGAAACGTAAAAAAAAAAAAAAAAAAAAAAAATTAAAAAAAAAAGCCAGTTGATCGAAATAACAAAAATCAGTGCGAGAGAATAAGAAGAAGAAGATACAGTAAATTCACAATCACGATAAAGTTAATTAAACCGCGAAATCCTTTTATCCAACGGATTTAAACTCCCTCTTCGAATCACACAACAAATTACCATCAGAATCATAATCAATTTTGCCTGAAAATTCAAGCGGACGACACCGTTCGCCTCTGATAATCGTCTTCCTCCAAACCTCATCATCATAATCATCTCCACTCAAATCAAAACCTCCTCCTCCTCCTCCTTCATCTTCATCCGCCGCCTCGACTTTCCGCCACGAAATCATCTTCGCGATGGAAATCGCTCGAGAACTGATGTTACTGTTAACCTTCGCCACAAAGTTTCTCTGCTGCAACAGGTTCGGTTTCTTCGATTTTCTCGAGGAAGTGCAGAGGAAAATCACGAGCGCGAAGATAGAGAGCACTGCGATTGAAGCGACGAGCGATGGTGAGGAAAATGGAAGATGATAAGAGTGATTTGAAAAGCTTGGGAACGGCTTGGCCATGGCGGACGGCAAAAACAGAGGAAAATGAGGGTTTGTTGAGTGAAGCGAATTGAGGGCAGGGCTTTTTATGCTCCTCTGAACTTATCCCAACGATTCCGTTGGTCCAAGCCGCATTTCATCCACTTTTTTTTTTTTTTTTTTTTTTTTTTTTTTTTTTTTTTTTTTTTTTTTTTTTNGAAAAGAGAAAAAAAAAAAAAATCATATTACTAATTTAAAAGTAAAATTTGTTAAAAATGCCTATTTATTAATTTAAAAATATTTTATACATATGACATCGACATTAAGCACGCGAGGATTTGATAAATTGCACCAAATTTTTTTTAGGGGATTGAATAAACGATTGAACTAATACTTACGCCACCGATCAGCCAAAAATGGGCCCGATAACAATTTGACAACTACAACACTACGAGCAAAATATATTATCTTCAAATTTTATTATTGGTTTTATAGATATTATGATCAAATTACAATTTTACCCTCCTATTTAAAATTTAATTTTATATATTTCTTATCATTTACAAGCGATTTAAAAAAATTATTAAATATGAGGTGAATTAGTTTATGAAACATTATTTGAAGAAGAGGTGTATCTATGGCAAGCCTAGACTTTATAATTTTGTCCAATCATGCAATTTATTTGTCACATGCGTTACATTATTACTATGTTTGAGACGTGTATAAGTTAACAAAATTAATTGCAAAAACTACATAAAACAATAATTTAATATTGACGGTTATAATTAAATATGACACGTGTTCCTTAAACACAGTGTCTATTGTACATTATAGCTTATTTGTTTGACATTATGTTTTCGACGCTAAACTTATATCCAAATTAATTAGCCGATTAACTTATTATATTATTTATATAGCTAATAAAGATTATATATATTCATAACTCAAAGTCGGTAAATAAAACATTTTGACTAATTTTCGATTATCAACCTTAAAAGAAATATTTTAATTTTAATATTTGATAAAATTAAAATTATGACTTTAATAAGTTTTTGTAACTTTTTCCATTATAAAAAATAATGATTATAGTGTGAAAAAAACAAAACTAGAATGATAGGATGAATTGCGTAGAATAGAAGGCAGTTGAGTACGTGGCGAATGGTAAATGGAGGTGATGTAAAGTAGGCTGTCACCATAGTTTACCAGTTAAAAGTTGACTTTGACCATTTGACTTGAGTCAGTCAATTTGGCTGTTTGTAAAAAGTTTCATTGCCACTTCAGACTTTCAACAATAAAAATATATTTTTTTTCTTTTATATATTATCGATATTTTTTACGTTAATAAGTTTTAAAATATATAGATTTGTGATTTTTTGGACATTTTATTTTTTAGAAAATAAATACATAAACTAAAAAACACATAATTAACGATATTAACGATAATAACAGCTTAAATTCATAATTTAAATTTTAAAGAATAACCTGAAACATTTAAATTTTTTAAAGCTAAATAGCCTAATTTATGATATATAATTTATTTGTTCAGAACAATTATAAAAGCTACACTTACATGACAGTCCATTATTTAAGTAAAATATTAAAACCAACTGACGGTCTCGTTTTTCGCAGTTTACTAGTTAAAATTTTATGTATATCTTAATCGGTTGAACTATATTTAAGTTGATAAATAATTTTTTTTAATTAAAAAATTAAAAGAAAAAATGCCGTTATATATTTTTTTAGTTCAATTGCAATATCAAATATTTATTTAAAATATTTAATAAACTTCAAAATTTTAAATTTGTTGAATGTACGGCTATATATGTAATTAATGGTGTAATACATATCTAACATTTTTAATATGTTATGAGGTCGTGTGATCATATATTCTATAACTATTTTTAAGGGATTTTTGAGTAACGTTTTAATTATTTTAGTCTCGAGTTGTTTATAGTGTTTTTATAATCTTTTTTTCGAGTTTTTAACTAATAATAACATGTAGGTCTAGAGAAATTAAATGATTATGGGTAACACCAAATTTGAGTATGTCTGTATGTTTTTATTTTATTTTATATTCTATTATTAGAGTAGCAAGTTGTAATAATAATGGTTATAAATGAGCAATAAATTAAAAAAGTTAGTTTGGAAAAAAAAATTATAGGTTAAATTAATAAATTTATGCATTTTAAACTTTAAAAAATTTTAATAATATCTTTAAACTTTAAAAGAGTTTCAAAAATGTCATGATAATTAGTTTTAAATGGGAGTCGTTAGTATCTATTTAAAAAATATCTTTAAATTTTTAATAATATTTAAAAAAAATTCAACTTTTGAAAGTTTCTTTAATACCTTTTTAATTTTTTTTAAAAAAATTAAAAAATATATTTTTAATACTTATAACATTAACAAATTTTATTTTTATTAAAAAAAATTATAAGAACTTATTACCTTTAATTTTTAATTTTTTTTTAATTATTTTGAAAGTTTGAGAGTATTTTTAAAATAAAATATTAATAATTTTAATTAAAAAGTAACTTAAAAAAAATTTTAAAAAGTTTTAAGGGCGTAAAACTTTTAAAAAATTCAAAGTATTTTGTTAGACAAAAAAAAATATATTTTTATTAATTTAGAGAAAAAAAAATATATTATATAAACTAAAAACTCCAACCATAATTTTTTTCCCTCAAATCTATTATTATAGTAGCCAGTTGTAACAATAATATAGATTGCTATAAATGAGCAATAAATTAAAATAGTAAACATAAAAAAAATGAATTAATTATAAAAAAAGGAAAGTCAAGAAAACACACATGCTCACATTTAGTGTGGTCTTGTCCCATAGAATTTAAGAACATAGGAATAGGATGAGTCTACTTGGGAATTTATTATAATTAAATATTGGTATTATATTAAACTAACCAATTAATTAGTGAAAAGCAAACGACGTGGCTACCGATCCTACCGTTCAAGCATACATTGATCAATACTTTGTGGGTGTCTATGAATTGGGCTCGTCTTAAACCAACCAAAAATATATTGGGCCATACCTTAGGCCCATTTTGAGTGTAGATTGGGCCATATCTTAGGCCCATTTTGAGCGTAGATTGGGCCTTTCTAAAAAATTCGAGTAAGATCATTCATCAGTTACACTGCGACACGTTTGCTACTCTACCATTTCACGACACGTGTCCAACCAATAAAATGAAATAAAAATGTAATTATAACCGCCCAAGTCGACTGCTACCCGACATTGTGCTCTTTAAATTTTTAAAACGCGTCTACTACATAGAGGTTTTCGCATTTTTTTAAAAAATGCTTCGTTTTCGATAAATAAAAGAAATTTAAAGGAAAAAAAAATTAGGTGGGGATGAGCCCACCACAGTTACAACACCCACATGCAATTCACTGTCCAAACCCTTTCAAGATTTCTCATTATTTTTTCTAATATATTTTTTAAAATATTTAATAATAAATTATCACAAATTCAATGTTCCTTCTAATTTTTCTCGTATTTTTTTTAAAATTCAAAGAATAAATAAATAAAAAATAAAAAGGTGCAAAAAGACTAAATTGTCCTTCCCGTTCCCACTATTTGCAAGTACAGCCCAACGCTCACATTCTTCATTAAATCTCCTCTCTCT